TATAACCTCCCAGAACGAAAACAATGTGAAATCAAGAGAACACACACAAATTTCGTTAACCTTCTATACAAAAAGTTTTGAAGTTGTCGAAATGCCGATGAAAGAGGAACATATGTTGATGAGGCATTTCAATAAATATGAGCTCTCAATACCAGCTTGAACAAGGGAATTACCAACTAAATTAAACCTACGTCTATCTCTGGCAAATTTAAATCTATCAATGCTAGAATTTTGCCTTATATCGTCGGATAGACCATCTAATTGATTAGGTTTAGGATTATTAATTGGGTTCTCCCTTCTTGTTCTTCGCGACAGAGCCTTTTTTGTTATCATTTTATATCGAAGGTCATTACGAAAAGTCTGGAGTATTTTTATTTTTTTCCTTTTCTTTTTTGGTTGGAACCAATAAATTAACCGATTAAGACAGTAAAAATTGGTTAATCGATTAAAGTTATAATTTTGTCAAATTATTTAACGCGGCTCGGAGATTTGTAAATTTAGATCACGTGTTCTCTGAGAATTTTTATTAATTTATTACTGTAATAAGGTAATAAAGCCCTACAACTAAGTATATGAGTCAAAACAAATTATTTGCTGTCAAAAAATTAGATTAATTTAACCGGTTAAAGCTTTATATCATTAACTGATTTCATGGCTTATTCAAATGATATGCTGTTGATTCGGAGTCAACTGAGGATAAAATAAAATAATAAGATCGTTACGAATCTTAATTTATAAACAACAATAAAATAATGTTACATATATACTTTTATTTTTACTTTTAAATTTTTTGTTTTTTATAATAAAAAAAGATAAACCAATTAATTATCAATTATTGATCGGTCAATTTATATTTGAATATAAATATTTTGTTTGTTCCAATTGAATAATAATCGTAAAAATCGCAATTTTTCCAATGCATGATTAATAAGGATTGAAAAAGTTCGGGTTGAGTGACTTGAGTCGGTCGGTTTGGTACATTGGTAATCGGTTCCCAAATCAGTTTTACAGCTAATTTCAAAGAGGTTTGGGCACTTAGCAAAATTTAAAGAACTCGGAAATATTCGGTAAAGCCTAATATAAAATAAAAATCATAAGCTAATTTTGGAATATTGTCCCGAGAATGGTGTTATAATTTTATCTTATTTTGAGCTCTACCAAATATTTCCGAGTTCTTTAAAATTTGCTAAGTGTCCCGTACATTATGAAATCAGCTGTAATAAATTTTGATATATACTGACTCAAATCTAGATCGAAGTAATTATGGAACCGAACCGGTTTTTTTTGTTTGACTTTGCTCACTCGTTTTTTCGATAGTATCGGTACTGAATCGAGCGAGTCATCCCATCCCTAATAATTAACCAATTACCAATCGAAACGCTTTATTAATTTTCTAGTTTATAATGTCTATTTTATTATCTGAGTTTACATTGCAATTTAATTTTGAAATTTTTTTTTTTGTAATAATATTAAAGAAATCATATAAAAAGTATGGCAGATATTCAACTTTTTTGCGAATATTTGTCATAAATGATCCATGAAACCAAAAATTCTCTGTAAATATTGTATCGATAATTAGAGAAAAATTTATAAAAAATAACATTAGTGATAATTATGATTATTCATTATTAATTTTACTTGCGATATCTTTTTTAAAGATTATATATAAGAACATGTACCGGAACATTCATATAAATATTTATTTTTTATGAAAGTATCAACAAATTTTGACATTCATCTTTCTCATCAATGCGCGAAAGAATAGATGAAATCATCAAAAAAATTTAAATTAATAACGAAATAAACACTTTTTTGCTGGGCTCCAAATATTCTTAACATTATTAATACGTGACTATAAACTTTAATGAGCTGTCACAGTTTAGAATCATAACCTGCCGTAATGTTGCAATCATTTACGACCTAAGTGTCATAAAACGTAATTATGTAACTTGCAATATGTAAGCTTGATTTACGGTTTCGTTAGTATTGCAATCCAAAATGTCGTAATTATTACTTACGGTCAGAAATCTTAGTTCAAAGGAATGCATAAATCAAAATCAGATTTTTTGATATTTACCAAATTGGAAATCATCTATTAAAAAATTATTGAAGATTGGCAATTCATACGATTTTCACCAATCATTTATTTTCCGAATTTTCGTTCATGAATATAACTATAGAAAATTAATCCTGCGGTTGGTAAGAATTATGGTTTCAAATATTTGATTTATTAATTATTCTTACATACATGTATTTTTAAATTTTCTTTATTAACATTTTAATTTTGTAAGATAAATTCTTGATGTTAAAAGCGATTAAGACGAAAAAAAACTCGGAAAATATCTGACGGGTAATCTATTTGATGTACATTGTATCTGTAGGTTTAAATCGATTACACGTGATTTTTCGTTACGTACTCATGTTACTCTCACTTACTATAAAAGATTGATCGGTGGTTGCGTACAAATGATTTGTACTACAAATAAATAATGAGCCCGTTCAAACAAAGATTTTCCTTTTCTCCCTTTATTTTCTGTAGGAATATTATTATTCACAAATTATAAAATGCATTCTGTAAATAATTCAGATAATTCATTAACTCAATTTATTCAAAATTCTTATAAAATCGATATAAAAGAAATAGAACCTACAATTCAAAATATTAATAAAAGTATATATGAAGATTATAGTACTTTAATTAATGAATTAGTTGATATTTATTTTAAAGCAGCTAATAAAGGAAAAGAAGAAGATATAAGAAAACAACAAATTCTTGATTATATAAATACTTATGAACTAAATTTACAAGAAATATATAATTGGCTTTTAAATACTCAAAATGATTCTAATTCAACTTTTTTACTTGGATATTTTTATTTTTATGGTGTTGGAACTAAAATCAATAAACAAAAGGCATTTGAATTATATAAAAAAGCGGTAGAATTAGAACATATTGCAGCACAATTAGTTCTTGCTGATATATATGTACATGGTAAGGGACTTGAGAAAAATCATAATAATGCTTTTTATTTAGCTAATAAACTAGCTGAAGAGGAACATTTAGCTGGAATAAATATGTTAGGATATTGTTATGGTTGTGGAGTTGGAACTGATATTAATATGGAAAAAGCATCTGAATTATATAAAAAGGCAGCAAATTTGGGAAATAGTATAGCTCAATATAATATAGCTTTGTTGTATGAATATGGAAAAGGAATTGAACAAGATTTGGATCAAGCTATTTATTGGTATAAAAAATCTGCTGAACAAGGATATCAATATTCTCAAAAAAAATTAGAAATATTGAATTGAATGTTGGGTTGGATCGGTCTCAGCAAAGACTGGTATTTGGCCAGTCATAAGAACAAATTCATGTTCATATGCATCATTGTTCAATTAATATGTCTATTTTTAGTTTTTTTTAGTTTTTTTTCCATTTCAAAAATCAAAATTTTCAGTTAATTTTTCACACTTCAAAAAAAACAATTTAAAAAAAATTTAAAATGTTAAATTTTTTGTTTGAGAATTAAGATCCATTTACAATAAATTTCACAACTACAATAATAAAAATGAATCCTTAACTTTAAGCGGGATCTTTATTACAAATTATGGGTAACTATTTTATAATGTTAAATATTAGTCCGGTTTCAGTCCAAAAGACCAGTCTAACCCTAATTGAATGTATTTATCCCATATTTATGTCGTTAAAAATTGCTTTAAAAATTGTATGAATTTTAGTATATTATAAATATATGGTTAGCGCACTAATTATTAATAGTTTTTGATATCCAATAATATTTGTTTACTAGATATTATTTTATTTCCTCCTTAGTAAAATTCATCGGATATAGGATATATTGATTAATGGGTGAATTAAATTTGCTACATGAAATTATAATCTTCTGGACATACAAGTTCATACTGGAACCTTTTACATTATTTTCAAATTTTGTTTTTATGTAGATAGATATTTGAATATTTGAATATCAGTTAAATAGTTTTTGTTATAATTATTATACTCAGTTGTATACTACAGTATTTCAGATAAATATTATCATATATAACTCCTTTATAATAAATTACTACTTTTATCGACCGTTCATTCAAGAAATTTGAAATTTTGCTACACAATATATCATACAAATATACTTTGCAAATTAATTACAATTTTTTTTTCTACGAAAAAAAAAGTCAATATCTTACGATTGATCTAATATCTCATTGAATTTATATTTTCTCAAAATAGTATGATACAGATTTTCAATGTGAATTGAATTGTAAATACTGTATATGGAAATCATTTAACTGACCGAATATAAAATAAAATATTTAATAATTTGTTGCATGTATATAATGACATGTAGTTATTAATGATATTGTAAATAAAAATCAAATTTATTGATATGTTGAATTATTCAAATTACAAAACTAAGAAACTTGTAATACATTTTACTACTCTAGCCTTAGTGTTTAAATAATCCTAAAAAAGAGAATACATATTGGATAAATCATAAAAAAAAAGAATTATTTAAATTACATACTAAGAAATTTGCAAAATATTTTACTACTCTAGTCTTAGTGTTTAAATAATTCTACAAAAAAAAACGAATAATCTCTGTTTAATGTATAATACCATAATATCAAATATCACTTAAAAAGTGTTGTAAATTTTTTAAAAATTCAAATTAATTTTCATCTATTTTGATTTCTAAATAATTAAATAAACAAATTACATCACATAAAATAATTGTGAATAAATACTTCTTTGTACATACAGTATTATATACATACCAAATGACTCCATATCATTAATTATATAATCATCCAAATTTTCACTTTCTAGAATTCCATTCAATTTTCCACTAGTAAAATTAAGTAAGCGACTTGTATAATATGCTTGTGAATGAAATTTACTAGTATTGAGATTGCTACATCCAATTAAATTTGAAGTCAAAGGGGTACCATTAAGTGCTGAATCTGGTGTAGCTGATGATACTGGGGGTGCATCTATAAATTCCATAACATTGCGTTTTAACTTTCATTAATATCTTTAATTTTCTTCCCATTAGGAATCATGATCCATTTTTTAATAATATCTAATACTTCTTCAGATGATGGTCTTTTTAATGGATCTTCATCCCAACACTTTTTCATCAAATCTACATAACATTGTGGAGTACTTTCAATAATTTCAGGACGTTCACCTTTACAAATACTTAAACTAAGTTGAATATCATGTGCTCTATTATTAAATGGTGGAACTCCAGATGTAAATTCCCACATAATCATAGAAAAACTATAAATATCACTTGCTGGAGTATAAGGTTTTCCTCTCAAAACTTCAGGTGCCATAAATGACATCACACCATATAGCTTATCTTTTAAAAAAGATTCTGCAGGTTGACATAATCCTAGATCACTAATATAAACTATATCCACTTTATTTTTTTGATTTTCTTTATTGTTATTATCATTCTTTTCATTTTTTTTATTATTATTATCCTCTTCATTTTCTTTATTATCATGATCATCTTCATTTTCTTTCTTATCATCATCCTCTCCCTCATTATTATCATCCACTTCATTTTCTTTATTATTATCATCCACTTCATTTTCTTTATTATTATCATCTACTTCATTTTCTTTATTATTATCGACTTTATTATTAACATCCTCTTTATACTCATGAAATAAAATATTACCATCATGAAGGTCGCAATGAATAAGCTCTTGTTCATGTATTTCATTTAGCCCAGAAATAATTTGATACAAAATATATAATTTTTGTTTCCAATTATTTTGAATGATTTTTGTTAAATTTCCTCTTAAATTACCTCTGTTTGCATAATCCATTACTACCATATAATTTGAAGTATCTGGATCTTTTGTAAATCCATATAAATAAATAAAATTATATGAAATTGAACAAATTATATGGTATTGCCACTATAAATATAAATTTAATATATTAGTATAAATAAATTATAGCTAAAATAAAAAAATAAATAATATATTATCATACTTCTTTTAAAAATTCATTTAAATTTTCATTCAAATTATCAAGACATTTAAGAACTACTGTTTTATCTTTACGCTTATCTGACAAAATAGCTTTATATATAGTACTAAACCCTCCTTTATCAAGATATTCAACATTTTTAAATTTATTATAAGGAAACCATTTTAATCCCGTATGAAAAATAAATCTATCTAAAACCGTATCTCCGCTTTCTCCTAATCTGCAAATTTAAACGAAGGTAGTCAAAATTTATATTAAAATCAAATTAAGAGAAAAAATAATACTAATACTTACTCTTAAATTTAAATAGAAATTTAAAAATTTAATATGATTTTAATATATATGTTGTGCCTCAGATCGATTCTTGCCTCAGATTGAAGCTCACGCACCTCACATTGAGATTGTCACCTGACGCACCTCATTTGAATCATTCAATAAAGTCTGTTATAAGTAAACTTTTTTTCTCATTAATTAAACCACTTTTTGTAACATAAACAAACTTGTGCACCATAATGAGTTACATGTTTCCTGAAATATTTATGTAAATCCAATTTATATTGAAGTTTATATTTGTGTTTTATCTGAAAAATCATTAAATTTTAAGTCATTTTTCAAATGAAAAGATTTAATAAGTATGATTCCAATTAATCTGAAATTATAGGATTGTATACTTAAAATAATGATAAATAAGTTTACTTAGTACTTAAAAATACATTAAAATTGGAAATTTTGATGTTTAATTATAGCACATTTTTATTAGCAATTGAGGTGCGTCAGATGACAATCTCAATCTGAGGTGCGTGAGCTTCAATCTGAGGCAAGAATCAATCTGAGGCACAACATATATAATATATAATAACCTACAGTATATATAATTTAGTGTAACTTACCAACTAAATTAATTGTCCAATATTTTTTTTAAAAAAATAATAAAATCAATTAATAAAAGTCGTAAATAAATATTGCAAAATATGTAATAATAAACTTAAATAGTGAACTTATAACTTACAATCAAAAGTAAAAATATTATAATTTTTTTAAAAAAAGTTTTTGTTAAATTACATGTAATTATTATATAAATTAAATATATAACATTAAATTAGTAAATTTCTCACTCTCTATATCGTCAAATAATTATTTAAATAAAGTTTAGATAGTAAAAATTAGTACATGTAATTATATAGTTGTAAAAAATTAAATTACAACTTACTAACTATAATAACTTGCCAAGTAATAAATAATTTTGTTAGTTTAGAGATCACATACATATATAATTAAAATAAAATAATTAACTTACTCCTTATAATATTGAATAATTCTATACAAAAGTATATTTAGTAAATTATATAAAAACATCATATAAATTTATTATAATAAATTAAGATTAATAACTTACTCCCTATTATTATGAAATAAAAAATTTAGTTAATAATATATAAAATATATACACAATAAATTAAATAACTTACACCCTAATTATTTAAATAAGAATGTGATTAGTTTAAACTTTAAAAACTTTAAATAATTATTACATAAATATATAAATAATAATAATAGAATTAAATAAATAACTTACGTCCTATAGTATTAAGTAGTTTTTTAATTATAAATTTTAGTAAGTTTGAATTTATAATAACATTACTAAATAAATAACTTACTCACTATAATTTTATAAATAAAATTTTAGTTTATATTATATGCAAATATTATATAGATATGTAAAGTAAAATTATAATTTAAAATGATAAAATTAAATAAGTAACTTACTTCCTATTATTAGATAATTGTTTAAATAAAGAGTTTAGTATTTTAATTTTTAAATTTATATAAATATCATAAATGAATAATAACAGAATTAAAAAACAATAGCTTACCCGCTATATTATTAAATAGTAATTATTTAAATAAAATTGGTTAATTTATACATATTATATAAATATTAAATAATCATTAGTAAATTGTAAAAAATTTGGTTAATTAAATCATATTAATAATATTATAAAATAACTTATAACTTACAAGCTAAAATATAATGAAAAAATTAAAATTTAATTAGCTTAAACTATAAATCAATATTAATTAAATGACTAATTTATAACTTACATTCTATATTATTAGGTAATTTTTAAATAAAAATTTAATTAGTTTAAATTATAAAATATATAATAGTGGAATAAAATAAACAACTTACTTGCTATATTATTAAATAATTTTCGAAATATTTAAATTATATAATTATTATATACTATACTGTAGTAAATACAATAACAGATTAAATATATAACTTACTCCCTAATTATTAAATGGTAATTTAGATAAAAATTTAGTCAGTTTAATTCATAGTTAAATATTATTATATAAATTCAATATATAATTATAGAATTAATAACTTACTAACTATAAACAATTTATTTATAAATAAAAGAATTAGTTATTTTATATAATAGTAAAATTAAATAATAATTTATGACTTACAAGCTAAGATTATAAATCATATTTTAATTAGTAGTTTAAATTATAAATAAATGTTACACAAATGTGTAGTAATGTAATTAAACAAACAACTTACATGCTATTATTGAATAATATTTAATAAAATTTAATTAGCTTAAACTATAAATAACTATTAATTAAATGACTAATTTATAACTTACATTCTGTATTATTAGGTAATTTTTAAATAAAAATTTATCAGTTTAAATTATAGAATATATAATAGTAAAATAAAACCAACTTACTTGCTATAGTATTATTAAATAATTTTCAAAATATCAAATATTTTAAATTATATAATTATTATTATTATATATACTGCAGATTAAATATATAACTTACACCCTAATTATTAAATAGTAATTAAATAAAAATTTAGTCAGTTTAATTTATAGTTAAATATAATAATATAATGTGTAATAATAAATAACTTACACCCTAATTATTAAATAATTATTTAAATATTAAAATTAATTACACATAAATATCATATAAATATGTATAAATAATTAAAAAAATAAATAACTTACACTCTAATTATTAAATATAAAATTTAAATTACATGTAAATGTTATATAAATGTGTAATAATAAAATAATATATAAATAAAAAACCAACTAGTTAGTTTAAATTATATGTATATATTAATAATTTATAATAATAAAATAAATAAACAATCAACTTACTTCCTATTATTGTATGTATTATCAGGTAATTATTTAAATAAAGAATTATAAAGAATTTAGTTTGTTTAAATTATATAAGCATATTTCAACTTAATTGTTTGTTTAATATATGGATTTACTGAGAGTTTTAGGAAAGGGTAGTTTCATTAAATGTATTAAATAAAACGAATGTAATAAAATTTTGGAAATTTTAGAAAATTTTAGAAATTGTAATTTAAAATTAAAGGGGCATTTTAATCATATAATATTATCAAAATTTGAGGAGTGGTATTTGTTAAACAAGCAATTAAGTTGCCTATATAATGTGTAAATATGCAATGTCATAAATTAAATGAATAACTTACTTCCTATGTTTAAAATAATTTTTTAAATAAAATTTGATAAATTTAAATTTTATATAAATATACGTGTATAATAAAAACTTATAGTTTACCAGTACCTTTATAAATTATTAAATAATTATAGTAAATTGTATAAATATTATACAAATAAACATAAATTTAATATATAACTTACAAGCTGTAATAAATTACCATATAGTTAATTAAATAAAGAATCTAATTAGTTTAAATGATATGTATTATTTAATTATATAATAATAGAATAATATAAATAGTTTATAACCTACCATCTATAATGAATTAAGAATTAAATTAATTGAAATTATGTAATAATATTATATAATTATAATATCATGATTAAATAAATAGTTTATAACCTACAAGCTATAATGAATTAAAAATTTAGTTAGTTAATAAATTATTTATAAATATTGTATAATTACATAATAATAGGATTAAATAAGTAGTTTATAACCTACCAACTATAATGAATTAAGAATTTAGTTAATTAAAATAATATATAAATATTACATAATTATATAATAATAGGATAAATAAGTAGTTTATAACTTACCAACTGTAATAAATTTAATAAATAAAGAATTTAGTTTGAATTATTTGTAAATATTGTTACATAATAATAGACTAAATAAATGGTTTGTAACTTACAAGCTGTGGTGGATAAAGAATTTGGTTAATAAGAATTATATGTAAATATATATAATTAAATAATTTATGACTTACCAACTATAATAAGTTATCAAATAATTATAAAAATAAAG